GAGGCTCCCCGGAGCTGGGGGTGTTTGAGGGTCCCCGAGCGAGGGGGAGCGTGGGGCTGGTTGCCAGGTGAGGTGTTTAATGCCGCCGTGCTGCCGGTTTAGGTGGACCGACTACGTCCCGCTGGGCAGGAGGATGCCGGGCACCCGCTTCATCGCCTTCAAGGTTCCTCTGAAAAAGGTAAGCGCCCGCTGCCACCCTGGGCCCACTCGGGATGGAAAGATTCTGTGGGAAAGCGTTGCTTTGTGGAGAGTCAATGAGTGAATTTCTACCAAAAAAATGAGCAAGAGTGTCAGCAGGTCATTTTGTTGTTTACTTTTGGTAAGTGGGTTATAACCTGGGAGGTGAGAAGAGACAGTGCCGTCACTGCTGTTGGAGCAGTCAGAGCGTGTGATAGGATCATGGTGGCATTCACACGGTGGGGTGACCAGGAATGGTTTCTGGGGGTCGTTGGCAGCTTTCTGAGTGCTGACGGCACCGCCCAGGCACCCTGGATGCAAGGAGATCTGTCCGTGCCAGCTCAGTAAGGGTAAGAGGAATGCTGCAGGCAGCCAGCAGTACCAGATGCCCAGAGGCCGTGCAGCCCGATGAACGCGGTGCCACAGCTGAATTTTGGGAGCTGAGGCTGTACGGGGTCAGTTTGGCAGCACCACTGGTGTGTGAGCTGCCTGCCTGGCTGTGCCTGGAGGTGTTCCCTCCCATGTGTGGGGCTGAGCTCCACTCCAGAGTGGTTTGAGCACTGCAGTTACACCTAAAACACTGTGGGTCACATCCCTGGGGGTTGTGGAGCTCGTGATGGGGAGCAGTGCTGTTTACTCATCTCTGTTTGCACTACAAGACTATTTTGGAGCTTTCATCAAACAAAACCTTCAATTTCTGGCTGTGCATGTCATGCTATAGTGTTTTGCTGCAGTATGAATTCTTCAATCAGTCCTGGAAACCCTCAGCTGAGCATTCCCGAAGCAGTGAGGGCCTGAGCACATTCTGCTTTGGCTCAGTGTAACTTCTGTGTCAGTCTGCGTCTGCCCTTGCTCGTTGCCTGCGTCTTTCTCTGTTGAGGGATGAACTTTGAGAGGTTCTGGAGCATGAACCTATTCCCACCTGTTGCAATGCACCCGAGTTTAACATCTGCTCTTAAACGTTATGTCCCCTCAGAGCTTTGATCAGAACCTTCACCCAGAGGAGAGATTTTCGCCTCGTGACCTCATTAAGAAAATTAAAGAGCAGAAGGAAGAACTAGGCCTGATCATTGACCTGACATACACAACTCGCTACTACAGGCCAGAGGTCAGTCTTGGTCTTACTGTCAGGGAAATGAAGCACTGTCTAAGCCCTGATACCGCTGATAAAGTGGAAGATGCTTCTTGTCAGAAGATTAAAAAAAGAGTCTGAGGCAGTCGAATCCTCTGGCAGAGGGATGAAGTGAAGCACTGTAGGCCCATCAGGATGGTTCTTTGTTCTCGATCAAGTACAGGCCTGGGGTCTTCAACTCCCGTCGTGCAGATCCTCGCTGTACCGACCAGCACAAGTTTTGGGATACCCTAAAGCTGTATTTTACAGGCTCTCCTGAGTGAAGAGCTGATTGCAACCAGCTTAAAGGGTGTTCCAGCCTCTGTGTGTGCTTCGTCTTCCCTGAGGAGGAAAGAACAAAAGCGTGAGAAATAAAAAGGCAGACAGGCTGCTCTGGAATATTGGTACCGTGTTAAGGGAGTGAAGCAGAAGTTTTCTTACTTAAAATTTTGTTGCTGCTCTTCTGGGATAGGTTGAAAAGCTTGTCCACTTCTCAGTTATGGTCTGTGATTCTTTAATTGATAAGAATACTCATTCTTTTCTGGAAATTATTGCCGTACTTTCTTGTAGGAGCTCCCAGCCACACTCTGCTATTCAAAGATCTTGACAATGGGGCATGAAATACCAAACAGGCACACCATTTTTCAATTCAAATGCGTTGTAAAGAAGTTTTTGAGAGACAACAGAGACAACGGTGAGTGTGGATTTCCCTGATGTTGCCATTGTTGGGAAGGGCACTGCCGACTTGGAGGCCAGTGATGTTTCTTTTCCTTCTCTTGGCATGTGAATGTCAAGGCTATAAGTTTTTCGTAAAGGAATTCATTCTGGCTGTCTGATAATTAATTGAGTTCGAGGCTCCATCTCGACTTACTGTAAATACTGATCGCTTTTTGGTAGTGGTGTGAGCAGCAAGCTGTTAGTGCTCAGGAAATGTGGGATAGCTTTTTGGGGAGCTTTTAAATACATCTTCCCTGCAGTGAGCTGTGTGACCATGAGATGAGCTCGCAATGAGCTCATGAGGTGAATCAATGGTGCTAATTAAACATAAATATGATGGTGCTGCATCATCATTCTGTTTATTTATGCTGCTGTCACTGCTGGAGGATGAATGCAAATGGGCTTGTTTTTGTTGGGTTGTGGGAAAAGAGCACTTAAATATAACCTCATTGTGTGTTACAGATAAACTCATCGGAGTTCATTGCACGCATGGCTTAAACAGAACTGGCTACCTGGTTTGTAGGTGAGTTGCCCTTAGGCAAATCAGTTAAGTGGTGGCATTGCCAGCTTCTTACAATAAAGCTTTTCAGCTTCGAGAAGGTGGTTGTTAGGGGGACGCCCTCTATCCCCAGTTTCAGCAGACCAAATGGTGATGCTCCATTCTGGCGTGTAAACAGAAGCTCTAAAAACTTCCCAGTTAGTCTTTCTCTTCGAATCATCACTAACCTGTCAATGTTTCTGTAGTTAATTGTGTAATTAGAGCTTTTTTGCTGCTTTATTAGGTACCTGATTGATGTTGAAGGCATGGAGCCAAATACTGCGATAGAGTGTACGTATGTGGATGTTTTTGTTGGGATGCAAAAGGTTTAGGGTGGGCTTGTGGTTTTGGTGGCCAGAAGGGTTGGGCTAGCTCCAGGGAGGTAACTCTGGTTTAGCTGTGCGGAGGTGTGTTCTCCTGTCGTGTAGAATGGAGGCTGGAGGAGGGGAGGTGTTGGGGGTTCTTGGAGGTAATTGGAAAGAAGGAATTAAGTTTATGGCCCAACTGGGGAGGTAAGCGGGGTGGAGTGAGCGGAGGGGGGCACTGAGCAGAGCTCAGATAGTGCAGCGCTGCAGCTCTGCCTGTGTGTCTGCCTTGTCAGGGCCTGTTGTGCAAGGACTGATACGCTGAGTGGAATCACCCTATGTGAAGTTGGTTGAAGGGCTTAAAATCCTTAAAATTTCAGCCCTTTGCAGCCCCAAAAATGACTTGTCTGAGTTACAACACACTGTACCTTTGTCTCTTCAGTGTTCAACAGGGCTCGAGGGCATCCTATAGAGAGACCCAACTATATCCAGGATCTTCAGAAGAGATCTGTGAAACCGTAAGTGTGCATGCCCAAGGAGAGCTGCTGTCGAGCAACAGAGGGTGAATGTGACCAGCTCCTAGGAAGGGAGGTAGAATGGGCCAGTGGGGAGGCACTGGGACAGGTTGCCCAGAGAAGCTGTGGATGCCCCATCCCTGGAAGTGTCCAAGGCCAGGCTGGATGAGGCTTGGAGCAACCTGGTCTAGTGGAAGGTGTCCCTGCCCATGGCAGGGGGTGGGACTGGATGGTCTTAAAGGTCCCTTCCAACCCAAACCGTTCTGTGATTCCATGAGTCTGGATTTAAAGAGCTCCACAGGCCTGCTGCCTGCCCTTTCCTTGGGGACCAGTGATGTGAAGGGGTGTTTTAGTAGAAAAGAGCTGTTGTGATCATTTAGTGAATGGTTTGTGGACACAGTCAAGACACACAGTATTCTTTTTAAGGATCTGTGGACTAAATAATTTGGGCTCAGGACCCTTCAGAGAAAAAGCCGGCCCCATGCCAAACACTAAAACACAGATACCCAGACATCATCCGCATTGCTCGGACCAGTTCCCCTTAGGAGTGCCCAGGTAGGTTTTTTGCTTCTTGCCTCTGTGCATGTTTTATAGCTGAGCAGACAGGACAAAAAAAGGCTGTTTTCTCATTTTTAAGAAACTTAAACTTGGATTTCTCCAAGCCGCAGCTCACGCAACAGCCTACGTATCAACGCTGAAGCGTTCCTTGTGTCTACAGCTGCGAAGCCCTTTGCCTCTGAATGACGCACTCGTGCCTGTAGCTGCGGGATAATGTAGCTGACGGTGTTTGGTGCTAGTTCACGGTGGGGCTGAAACGTTCGCAAGCTGTCTGAGGTTTCAGGGACAAGTGAACTCTGAATCAAGTGCTGAGTGAGGCAGCTCTTCCCTGGGATTGAAGTGGTAACTCTCTTCCTAGGCTCAGCAGGGATGGCAGGGGAACAGTGAATGTGTGTAAAGAGCTTCCTCTTGATGTGGGGCACACGGCCAGGATGGGAGACGGCCTCTGGGAGCTCCGAAACCAGCTCAGGAGCAGGTGCGTGGTAACCCGTGCCCGCTTCTGGCAGAGCAGTGACTCCTCCAGCTGAAACATCCCTTACTGTATGGAATTAGCAGGTGGGAAATAAGCTGCTAGCTGGGCGTTCTTCCTGGGTGTTGCATCGTTCAGGCTGAAGCAAAGGGACTGGGTAAAGCCAGAGGGGACAAGGAGATTTACAACAAGCCCTTTGGGGCTCTGTGTAGAGTGACTTTCTGGTACTGATTTCTGAATTTTCTTCCAGAAGCTCCAGCAGCACCAGGAACCGCAGGCGAGGCGCCAGGGCACAGGCACAACACCAGGAGCCGGTGCACGAGCCCAGGGTGATGAAGCAAAGGTGGCCGTGCAGTTTTGCAGCGAGGAACTGTCGGGTTTCGTTGCCCGCTAACGAGAAGCCCAATGGACGGTGCTTTCCCCCTCAGAGCCCCCACCTCTGCCCGCCCCAGGAAATGCACGTGGGCAAGAAACGCAGGCGCCGGCGTAGGAAACCTGCGGTGACGGCGTAGGGAACGTTGTACACGACAAAACCCCGTCCAGGGCTGCGTCTTTGACCCCGAGGAGCTCGGAGACGGGTCCCTCGCCACTTGAGTGAGCAGCCTTGCTGTGACCTCCGCCAGCAGTCGGGAGCTGCGGATGCAGGTGTTCTTCCTCGCAACAGCTCTGCTTTTTTAAAATTTCTTCTCCCCTCCCCGGTACTTTTACAAATTTCACAGATATTTTTTCAATCCTGTGTCTTTGGTGGATGCAGAGAATAAATGTGGACCCAAGCAAAGCTGGAATAATCCTAAAAAAACATCCACGGGAGCATCCCTTAACCTTCAACAAACGGGTTTTTCTTTGATTTCCTAAATATATAATGAGAAACAGCGTTCAGCCTGAATCTACATGATTTTTTTTCCCCCTTTTCGCCCACTTTTGCTGAAGTAAATTTCCGCGGTGTGTAAACCTCCCGCCCCGGTTGTGGAGCAGTTATTTCCCGCGGGATGGGCCTGGTGAGTCCTGCCGGCTCCGTGCTTCAGCCCTCGCCCGAGCGCGGGCTTCTTAGGCGGTGGTCTCTGGCCTCGCGACCGGGTCGTTTTGGGGTGAGAAGGGGTGTTTTCGAGGCGGGAAGGGAGCTGCCCCTTTAAGGTTCTGGCCCCCTCTCTGACGTCATGGCGTCCGGCTTGTCGCAAAGGGAAGTGTCGCTCGGTGGGGCGGGAGTCGGTGGTGCCTGCGGCGTTCCCGGATGTTGCGGCGGCTCCTGATTGGTTGCTGGAAGCGAGGCGGGGCGGAGCTATCGGCAGTTCGGCGACAACCCGGAAGCGCTGCGGGGTGGCGGCGCCAGGTCAGGGCTGGGCCCGGGCACTGGGGTGAGGG